GCATGTCTTCATCATTAGCAACACTAACAACAGAATCTAAAAATGAAGCTGGCTCGCCACAGACTTGAAAGGACTCCCTACCCAAACCTTTGCCTCCAGGAGGCCTTGAGTCCTAGGCCAATTTAATGTTGAATCACGGAACAAAGAGGATCAGTGCCCTTTATCAGATCTGCCTTTAATCCAAAATCTAGATCAGTAGGATCTGAACTGATCATGGCGTATTCTTAACCTCTCTACTCAAAATACTAGGTAGACAGGGATGGCGACCTATATGGAACTCTGCTCTGTCTCCATCCCCCCAACATGGTGAAATAGGTATTAGCACCAGGCTGCTTTACATAGGGGTAAGGGCTTCCCCTCCAGTCACCTTAGTTGGTGGTGCTATGTCCAGGTGGCATGCTCACATTAGCTATTGGGGTGAATTTTTAAAAGCTGCCAGAGCATTATGCTAAGTGAAATAAGCCAGGCAGTGAAAGACAACTACCATATGATTTCACCTATAAGTAGAACCTAATCAACAAACAAGCAAGCAAAATATAACCAGAGGCATTGAAATAAAGAACAAACTGACAGTAACCAGAGGGGATGGGGGAGAGAGATAACGGGGGGAAATAAGGGCAGGGCCATCAAGGAACATGTATAAAGGACACATGGACAAAGCCAAAGGGGTTAGGTTCAAGGGTGGGAGATGGGGATGGGTGGGGTGGGGGTCGTTGTGGTGGGAAAATGAAAACAAATATACTTGAACAACAATTAAAAGCAAAAGGAAAAAAATAACATAAAAGCTGCCCCTTAAAACATGTAAATGAGAGCAAAGGGAATTACCAAATTAAAATATCAAGTGAGTAAATAGAAGAAAACCTGGGACCTTTAGGATATGTTCTGTATCATAAGAAAAAATAAAAAAGAATAAGGAGGACAGTTTTTTCTAGAGATAAATCTACTCCATGATACAGAAGAAAAATGAGAACATATTTCATAGTTCCAAGAAGATATAATATTTAGGAGCAAGAACATACTGAGATATGTTGACGGTATAAATAAATGAAACAGTAGATCAAAGCAAAATTAATTCTTTCAAGATTGTGTTAATGAAACAGAAGGAAAACTTAAGATTGTTATACTACTGGGTTCTTTTCTGAATAAAAGGCATAAAAATATTATATATTTTTTAGAGTTTAAGAACTACAGGAATTGATCATATGCATTTCAGACAAGGAACATGATAGTTAAAAAATACATTCATACCATATATGAGTTTAACTACAAAATGAGTCAAAGGTGTAAAGTAAATATAAAAGGTAAAACTAAAAACTCTTAGAAGAAAACAGACATAAATCTCCATGGCCTTGGATTAAGCAGTAGTTTCTTGGATAGTACACATAAAGCATAAACAACAAAAGAAAAATTAAATTGGACTTCATCAGAATTAAAAACACTTGTGATGCAAAGGATGCCATTAAAGAAGTAAAAACCACAGAATTGGGGGAAATATTTGCAAATCGTATACCTGATAAGGGACTTATATCTAGAATATATAAAAAGCTCTTACAACTTAATAATATAAAGAACATTCAATTAAAAACAGGCAAAGGATCTAATAGACAAAGAAGATAAAGAGATGACCAATAAGCACATGAAAAAATGCTTAACATCCTTTGCCATCAGGGAAATTCAAATCAAATTTTTTAAAATTTAATCTTTATTGTATTTTGCCATTTCCGTTTCATCCCTTTATACCTCCTTTCCCCCAGCAACCACCACACTGTTGTCCATGTCCATGAGTCCTTTTTCCTTTCTGCTCAATCCTTCCATCCCCAGCCTGCCCCCGTCCCCACTAGCTATCATCTGCTATCCATCTATGAATCTGTCTGTTTTGCTTGTTAAATCAATTTGTTCATTAGATTTCATATGTTAGTGAAACCACATGGTATTTGTCTTTCTCTGACTGGCTTATTTGACAGCATAATGTTCTCTAGGTCCATCCATACTGTCACAAAGGGTTAATTTTTTTGTTCGTTTTTACAGCTGAGTAGTATTTTTTCAATGAGTAAATGTCCCATAGTTGTTTTATCCACTCATCTACTGATGGACACTTGGGCTGCTTTCATATCTTGGCAATTGTAAATAATGCTGCAGTGAACACAGGGGTGCCTACATTTTTTGGAATTAGTGTTTTTGGTTCCTTTGGGTATATTCCTGGAAGTGGGATCCCTGGGACAAAAGGCAGATCCATTTTTAATTTTTTGAGGTATCTCTATTTCCACAGTGGCTACACCAGTCCAAATAAAAATTTCAGTGAGATACCACTTCTCACCAACAATAATGGTTATGATCAGAAAAATAGATTAAATGTTGGTGAAGGCATGAAGGAATTGGAACTTTCATATCCTGCTGCTGGGATTTTTGAATAGTTCTGTTGTTTTCGGTAACTATCTTGCAGTTTCTCAAAAGGCTAAACATAGAATTACCACATGACCTAGCAATTGCACTTATAGGTATATGTCCAAGAGGAGTAAAAAACATATCCACACAAAAATTTGTACATGGATTTTCATAACAGCATTATTCATAATAGCCAAAAATTGAAAACAATGGAAATGTCCATCACCTGACGAATGGATAAACAAAATGTGGTATATCCTTACAGTGGAATATTATTAAGCAATGGGAAGGAATGATGTAGCAACACATGTTGCAACATGGAAAATCCTGGAAATATGTAAAGTAAGTGAAGCTAGTCACAAAAGAAGACCTATTGTATGTGAAGATGGAATATGGACATTTTCTAGTGAAAAAAATTATCTCCCACCTGGCTCAGGAAGCTACTGAATGATGTCCTCCACAAAAAAGAGGGCATAAACAATGAAAAAGGAAGACTCAGGACTGAAAATGTGACCCAACAAGGCAATTCCCAGGATAATACCAAAGGGAAATCCCAAAACAACTTGTCCAGTGTGGAGCCAGAATATGGAGGCTCCAGGTAAAATATTTCCAGAAAAGAATGGAATGAAAAAATTTCCTCATTAAATTTGATCAAGTGAAAAAATCATGTTGAGAGGAATCATATAGTTCTATTGGAGAGGAATTAGTTAAAAGATACAAAAAAACATTGTATCAGGTAGAAGTGTGATCATTTTTTATAGATCAGTTATAAACTGTATTCACGAGGTCATGTAAACTGAATATTGATTTATTGTAAAACTGTAAAATAATACATATTGGGAAAATGAAGGGAGAAGTAGGAAAGAGAAGGCATAAGCGCCAAATCCCGATCTTTCATAATTGTCAGTCAGTAGATGATATCTAAAACTGATCGTTTTCTAGAAACATGGACATAAATGCCAGAAAAAATAGCTAAAACTTTGATGATGGTTGTTTCTGGGGAACAAGATTTGGGTGAAGGTTGGGATAGAGGATGGCTTTTAAAAAATTATAAACCTTATGGTGATGTATACATAAAATTGGTGAAAAAATATTAGTAAGTAAAAAATTAACTTAGTCTATGATGAAGATCTTGATAAATCTAAGTGGCTGTATTTTCTGACTAGAGTGAAACAAGTAGAAATGAATTATATGTTTAAACAACAACAAACCAAATCTCAAACTCTAGGAAATTTTAATGTAATTAATTCTGTGTTGTAACCAGGTCAAAGAAGAAAAGTTCAATTTAGAAAAAATAATAATAAATAAATATATAAATATAAACACACACACACACACACACACACACACCTCCAAACCTATATTGTGTGGTCTGGTGTGGCCCAGCAATACTTGGTAGTAAATTTATTGTTTGAATTTTCATTTTTTTAAAAAAGTCAGTCAACCTAAGATTTTAGAAAATGAAACCCCTCTACCCTCCTTTCAAAAAATTAATGGGAGAAAATAATGTAGAAGCTAAAAATATGTTAGTAATTTTCTGTACATTTTTCCTAATTATACGTAGTCTGGATTTCTAATAAATTTTTTTATGGGTGTCTTGTTGATTGTATCTTTTTAGGCCTTAAACACAGATAGTTTGAAAATATCAACTCGCCTGAACTTGTTGGACCAAGAGTTGTCTGAAAAGAACGTGCAGCTCCAGAGCAGTACAACTGAGGAGAAAAGAAAGATTTCGGAACAACTTCAAGCCCTCCAGAAAGAAAAAGATCAGCTACAGAGACGAAGAAACAGTGTGGATGAGAAACTTAAAAATGGTAGCACGCTGTCACCTGAAGTAAGTCAGTATTCTTTGAAACTGGAAGTGTTGTATGACGGATCACTTGGATGACTTCCTTCGTCTCTGTCACTTAAACATAAAAACGATAAATCTGGTGAACTTTGTTTTCTTGACAATTCGTCAGATGCATTGAGTTTACTGGGCACCGTAAGCCATGCTTCACTAGGACTGCCATGTCCTTATGCAGACAGAGGTCCTTGAACGTGGTCCCTTCCTGGGTTGCCAGGGATTGGAAGACTAACCCTTTCCTTGAGAGTCCGGAGTTTCTCAGCCAGGTTTCTCCTCTGAACTCACAAAGCACACAGTGGTTTGAAGGGACTCTTTTTCTCATTTCTTCCAAAGAGGGCACCTTCTTTCTCTCTCTGCATCTTTCTTGAATGATACTAGGTAATTTATTACATTCAGTGGATGTTTAGGGAATTAAGGGTTAATTTTTAATGTTACCTCTGTTGACAAAGGCCTAATATAAAGGAGAGCATGTCCCTTCCAGGCAGATGCATAAAATTCAAATCCCAATAAAAATACCCTTTAGTTAGAGTTTTCATTTAATGGACCATATAGCTCCTGTCACCTTTATTTTTTTAAATTATGTAAAAGATATTTCACATATTGCCTATCAAATTGCCCCAGACTCTTGTCTTTTTTTCAGAATTTTACCTCATTTGGCAATGGTACCTATGATCAAACAAAGATGAACTTTTGAGCCCAAGTTTTCTCTGTGAATATTTATTTTTGACACCTTGTCATTACCAAAGCAAGAGAAAATTGCTAAGGGAAAGTGAGTAGCTGGGAAACAGGCACCTTGCTGAGTCTTGTATTGTTCTAGATGAGAGCAAGAATGAGAGGAAGTTAAGGGGCCTGGTTAAGAGGGAACAGGAGAAAGGATTTCATTATATTAGATTATCGCTCATTGAGTTGATCAGAGGTGTTAAAGACTAAATTAATTCGGGGCTCTGTGCGGTTATAAACCTCTACTGCCCTATTTTATAACTCATCTTAGGTAGCTCTGCAGAGGATCACAGGGTCAGGCTGTCCTCCCAGGGTTGTTCACGTTGGAGCCCAAGCTGGTAAATTTGAAGGTATGAGAGCCTAAAATACAGAAAAACATATAAGTAAGGAATTCTGGCCTGCCCAGGACTGTTACTGGGCCCTATGGAATAAATTTAAAAAAAAGCAAGAAATATTATGCTTCTCTTGAGAAATTTATACTCTATCTGAAGAAAAGAAACAGGAGGATAAGAAAACTCTAAACCCTGAAGAACATAAAAAAGCAAGTTACAGACAATATAATAAAGCCATACTTACTACATTGTTTACACAAAGCAATGTGGTGATCATTTGGGAGAAGATTATTAAGGCAGCCTTGGTGGGTTGGAATCCTGATCTGGATTATGAAGAACATAATATACTATACTACATTGGTCAATATAGAAAAGACAATTTTCAGAACACTTTTAAATAAGGCATGAAGATGGGAATGAGCAAATTATGTTTGCAGAAGGATAAAGGGTCCATTATTGTCACCAAGAAACTTTTAGTTTCTTTTTCATGTGGAATTCTATAACTGAAATTATGTAGGGTTTTGTGGTAGAAATGGAGAAGTGTGCTTGCTACCTATTTAGAAGCCACTCGGTCCCCTTTAGTCAGGTTAGCTTCTCTGTGCCCTTCTTCCTTCCACGTGGTTGGTTCTTAGTGCGGCTCTGAAGTGGGCTCTGCTCTCCCCACTGTTTTCTATCCAATGCTGATATTACCGGATGGATCTGCCAAGAGCAGATGATGGGGAACATCAGATCCTGATGGGACACCTAGGTGGAAAGGTTTGCCGTTTTGATGTCTTTAACCTTGCTTAGAATTGTTTCTCTCTCCACAATAACTCAAAATATTTTTCTGATTGTATTACTTTATGGTAAAGTGATAGGTTTTAAATCAACAATTTAACGTAAGCAAATCACTTTTGATAAAATCCAGAAACTAAGATTTAAAATTAACAATTTTTGTAATAATGCAGAGCAGTTGCCTATTAATTGAGGTATGGAAGAAAGTATAAGAATGATTATATCTATGTTTATTTCATATTTTAAACTTTCAATTTCATGTTTTAGGATTAGAGGATACATATAACTTATTGAGAAATATACAATACATACTCTGTATGTATGTATGTACGTTTTTCCTATGGAAAAACACATGCAAGTCATGATGATTACAATAGCTTTATTAAGTCAAAAGAATGTCACAATGCAACTGTAAGCCTAGTTCTGCCCACCTCTGTACATGTGTAGTGCTTGCTCAAGTTTTTGTTAGTTTTTTTTTGTTCATTTTTATTTTTTCACTGATTGGGATGTGTGATCTAAGAGGTTTGGAAACCCACTGCTTTAGATTCCCATTACCCTCATCCCTGATCTCTCCAGACCAGCAGCAACAGGATCACCAGAGAACCTGTTAGAAATGCAGCGCCTAAGGCTCTACCCAGACCTGCTGAATTAGAAATCTGCATTATAACAAGCTCCTGGGTTCACAATAAAGTTTTGAAAAGTGCTCTATGATAAAAGATAGTTAATTCTTAGTAATCTGTGGTTTGAGTTGTGGTTAATTTTCATCCTGGAACAGTTTTCTATTGCCACTCATCTTGTTACCCTATACCTATTGCTGGCTTAGCGGAAACCACCCATGTTTACACGCTAAGCCTTGTGGAGCAGGATAGTCTCGGGGTTCTGTGGTTGCTGTACTACCCTGTCATATCTTGGTGCTTCCTTAACTTAGATCCAGAACTGTAGGAACTAAAATTGTACCAAAGTGTCCTTAGCCATATATAGAGGCAAACCTCTCCACGTTTGTTTTTGGTGGAAATATAAACACAGTATGCTTTCATAAGTCAGATGTGTCCTTTGAATAATTTATTTTCTGGTTCCTCATTCATTCACCTAATTACCTTTTAGGATTTAAGTTTATTTTTCTTTATATGGTAAATATTATTTTCTTCTTATGGAGCCATTATCAAATCATTAAAATATTTTTTTAATTGTTGACACTATTACAGATGTCCCCCATTTTTCCACCTTTTGCCCTTTTCCATCCATCCCCCCACCAAGGCCTTTCCCCCATTGTCTATGTCCATGGGCTGTGCATATGTGCAGATACGTTATTTGGTTAATCTCTTCCAGGCCCTTCATGATGGTTAGTGATTGCACAGAGAAATAAAATGGCTGTAGAACTTTTTTTTTCAAAATGGCTCTTTCAGGATATTTTATAAATTGGCTTTTAAAAATAAGTATTCTTTGACCTTCCATTGGAATAGGTTATTACGTACTATTTCCCTGAATTTCAGAAAAGGAGTTCTGGAAGTCACTCTGTTCTTTAGGTAGATTAGAAATACTGACATTATTTTTCTTGAAATGCTGGGGAGAGAAGTGTAAAGAAATACTTGGGTTATATAGCCAAGACATAATGAAAATATTTTTTCTCTTCATCCTTCATTAACTTATTCATTAGATACTTAACTGAGTTTAAACTGTGTGATATATACTGTGCTAGGCAATCAGGACACAAATATAGACAAGACACTCTGCCCTCAAGAAACTTAAAGTTTAGGTGACATCCACCATATGTATAGGTGTGTGTGTGTGTGTGTGTGTGTGTGTGTATTAAAATGTCACCAAGTCCTAAATAATTTCTTAACCGAGATTTGGATCCCTCCCCCCAAATAATATGTTATTTGGATAGTTCAAAGAACCACTAGATTTCCTGACAGGTATTCATCGCATTTTTTTCTACAAAGGAAATCTCTGGCAAAGAGATTTCCTACAAAGGAAAAAACTGTTATGTTGCAACCATTTTTAATGCCTGTATATTCCCTCCAATGATGTCTCATAGAAATCTTATGAAATGCCTCATGTCCTTAAATCCTTACTACTTTTTAAAAAATGACATACTGTTTTTTTCCCTAGAGACTTAAATTTGATTACTAGTTCTTTTTAAAAATATCTTATTGATTGCGCTATTACAGTTGTCCTAATTTGTCCCACTTTGCCCCCTCTGCCCCCTCCTCCCAGCATCCTCACCCCTTCAAGCAATGCCCACACCATTGTTCATGTCCATGGCTCATGCATATGAGCTCTTCGGTTGGCTACTCCATTTCCTGTACTGTACTGTACATCCCCATGGCTATTTTACCAATTTGTACTTTTCTTTCTTTTTTTAGATATATTTTATTTTTTATATTTTATTTATTTATTTTTAGAGGTGGAGGGAAGAGAAGAAGAGAAACAGTGATGTGAGAGAGAAACATCAACTTGTTGACTCCTGCATACCCCCAACTGGGGACCTGGTCCACAACCAAGGCATGTGCCCTGACTAGGAATTGAACCAGTGACCTTTCAGTTTGTAGGCCGATGCTCAACCCACTAAACCACACCAGCTAGAGCTGATTTAGTTCTTAATTTATCCCGAATCTATTTTTCTTTCCCTCCTAGCAGTATAATTGTTTAATGGATCCTTGAAGAAACATCACAGGGTCTCCAGATCTCACCGACACATAATATACATGTTAAGAGCTAGGGAGATATATGACAAAACTGCTAATCCTGTGGGCTGTGGCTTTGAGTGTAATCCCTGGTGCTCAGCATTTGCTGTATGACCTTGGGATGTTTCATAACTTACGTAAGCTTCTGCCTTTTTCATTTTACTGCATAGGTTTATTGCAGGGATCAATGACTGTTATACATGTGTATACGAACAGTGTACTGTGTAGCAAAGCAAGCACTCAGTAAACATTCTTTTCTTAAAGGTTAGTAATCTGTTAGACTCAGACACAGCAGGTCCTTGAATAATGTCATTTCACTCAAAGTAATTTTGTTACAATGCTTTTTCTTAAATTATATTTTATTGCTTATGTTATTATAATTGTCTTAATTTTTCCCCCTTTGCCACCCTCTACCCAGTACTCCCCACTCTCTCAGGCAATCCCCACACTTTTGTTTATGTCCATTGGTCATGCACATCAATTCTTTGGCTACTCCATTTCCTGCACTGTACTATACATCCCCATGGCTGTTCTATAACTACCTATTTGTATTTAATCCCCTCACCTCTTTACCCATTCCCCCACATCCTCCTATCTGGCAACCATCAAAATGCTCTCCATATCCATGATTTTGTCTGTTCATATTGTTTGCTTAATTTTTTAGATTAAATTGTTGATATGTATAAGTCCTTTATACATTTAATATAATGATGGTTTGGTGATGATGAACTCCTTTAGTTTTTTCTTGTCTGGGAAGCTCTATATCAGGCCTTCGATTCCAATATCTTTGCTTTGTAGAGCAATCTTGGTTGTAGGTCTCTGCTTTTTATGACTTTGAATATTTGCCAGTCACTTCTAGCCTGCAAAGTTTCTTTTGAGAAGCCAGCTGACAGTCTTATGGGAACGCCCCTGTAGGTAAGTAACTACTTTTAAGATTCTCTGTCTTTGACCGTTAGCATTTTAATTATTATGTGTCTTAGTGTGGGCCTGTTTGCATCCATCTGGTTTGGGACTCTCTGTGCTTTTTGGACTTGCATATCTTTTTCCTTTGCCAAATCAAGGAAGTTTTCTTTCATTATTCTTTCAAGTAGATCTCCAATTTCTTGCTCTTTCTCTTTTCCTTCTGGCACCCCTCTAATGGAAATGTTGGAACACTTTTGGTTGTCCCAGAGGCTGCTTACACTATCCTCATTTTATTGGATTTTTTCTTCTTCTTGTTCTGATGGGTTGTTTTTTGCTTTCTTATGTTCCAAGTCATTGATTTGATTCTCAGCTTCATCCACGCTACTGTTGTTTCCCTGTAAATGTTCTTTATTTCAGTTAGTGTATCCTTCATGGCTGAATAGATCTTTTTTATGCTGTTGAGGTCTTCACTAAATTCCTTGAGCATTCTTATGACCAGTGATTTGAACTCTGCATTTTCTCCATTTTGTTTCATTCTTTTTCTGGACTTTCGATCTCTTTCATTCGGACTATGTTTCTTTGTCTTCTCGTTTTAGCAGCCTGCATGTGTTTTTTTCTCTGTGTATGAGGTAGAGCTGCTATGACTCCCTGTCTTAATAGTGTG